AATTGCCACTGACATTAAGATTTCCCTCATATTCTCATTCATAATCTCATATTTAAAAAACAGAGCAAATCTAATATTTGAGTAAATTAATAGTGTTGTGCGGTGACAACCTTTTCCTTAGTGTGCTGATGAGGAAACACCCATAAGGTGGGGGTATCTCTGTGTGCGTTTGTGTGTGGTGAGGGGTGTTTCTTTGTGTGGACAAAGGTGACTAATTGCCCTCTTGTTCATCCTCTGAGACGAATGAGGACGCTCACCTCTCTACTCTTCTAAGCTTACAGCTGTGTGTCAGGATTACCCAGGATGCTCCTTGAGTATCCCCTTATACCTTCAATTGGATCTCATCTCATCTCTGATCTTATACCTGGCATGCCCCTGCATTACAGCTGCTGCCTGCATGGGCCACTTTATCATCCCCTGCACCTTGGCTTTGCTGGTGGCGGTAATAGAAAACACTTCATCAAAGTGTCCGCCTTACGCAGGACTTTCCATTCATTTATGGGACTTTGGGATGCTAACATGTCAGCTGATATTTAACAATGACTCCCCGTTCCTGCCTCTTCTTGAATGATAGCGAAGCTGCTTAGTCATTTGAGTAGCTGGAGCAAATCTAACTAATGATCTTAGCTGTCAGAGATAAATTCCACCATCGGGCGCAGAGCCCTGCCACTGTTGCCGCTGCTGTGGCTGGCAGCCTGTATCTCCCAGACGCTCTGTCTCAAGCATGCCTTTGGTATCATCTCACACTGGCTGCACCAAGTGTGCGATGATGCCACAGCGCCGGGTTGAGTCACGACTCGTCTCTTATCTCTAGGATCGCAGGTTGTTCATCATGTGCGGAGCATATCAGCGTTGTACACAGGCCAGACGCATCAGTCCAGCTGAATATGTGTCACATTATTCACTGGTCATAACACTGTATCAGAACCTGCTGTCGCTCCTGTAGCACCAAACTCTCTATCCTTGAGGCATCACTCCAGTTAGTCATAGTTGAGCGAGATGACAGCCATAGAGAGATGACATGCAGTGAATTGACAGACTAATCCAAGATGGCTGCCTTACACAAAGCTATCAACACTTGACGCACTCAGGGCCAAGATGAAGGGTTTTCTAAAAACATTTGCTGCATATTTTTAGAAAGGTTCTCTCTCTGATTTTTCTGTGTTTCTTTCTTGTCTCACTTTTTATTGTATGTTTCTGTCTTCAGATCAGGATTCAGCAGTAAATATTAACTTGTAATTCTAATGTAGAAGCAAGAGAAAGTCCTTTTTCTTTTAAAACACCATGATATTACAGTACAACACCATTTTAAGATGTAAATAAGCAAAAATACAGTATCATAACTTTGCTGATCAATGATTTTAATTTTTTCAGATTAACTAAAGAATTAAGTGTGCTTTTACTTCTTTTAAACCATTTAAATACTGATTATATGAACAGAACTGTCACAAAACTAGTTTTTCTAGTTTAATTAAAAGCTGATATTTTGGAGACACGTGGTTTTCAAAGCACAGTGAGGACAGCCATGTCAATTATGTTTATAGAGCCCAAGATCACAGATTTATCTCGGAGGACTTTAAAAACTGTACAACATATGACATCCTTCAATCCTTCATTTGGATTACCAAAACTGCAAGGGCTGGTGGACACAATATACAGTATACAATAAGATGCAAAGAAATATCACACAGAGGCATACAAATATCTGTAAAAATAGCAATTAGAAAAACACATATGACTTATCTTTCAGCCTAGATGATTCTTTGTTAAGATAATAGGCTAATCTCTACCTGTGTATAATTATTTTTGGTTCACTTCACAGTACAACACATATTCTGTCTTCCTCTTTTCAATTGAACTCTTTTGATCTATTCTGTGTTGGCGCACCTGCTCTTTTTAGATATCTGTTCCTCTCTGTCCGGTTTCTCTCTCTCTCTCTCTCTCTCTCTCTCTTTCTCTCTCACACACACTCAGTGCACACTATCAGTTTCTCTCTCTCCTTCTCTCACGCACACACGAATACTTACACATCTCTCTGCTTCACCCTGGTTGGATTTCTCTTTCTCTGTAATTACAGGCTTCTTATCTACTTCCTATGTTACGTGCTGCAGCCATTGGCCTCCTCCATGTTTCCTCCTCTACCATTTTAGTGTCACACACATCTTTCGCTGCTTCTCCCTCCTGGAGCCAACAAGGCAGAGACACACAATATGCTTTTTAACATGGCAGGACCAGCCAAGTTTGACGGCTGCAAGGAACAAATCCAAGAGGCAGTAAATTCTGGTGGCAGTTTTTGCTAGAAAGAGGCTATTTGAGTGAAAAATTGTAGTGTCTTTACAGTTGTGGGTGTGTGTTGGGAAGAGAGAGGGAGTGGGGGGTGGGGGGGGGGAGCAAGACAGTGAGAAAATGTAGGCTTTGGCATTCATAGCCTCTTGGTGAATGAGTGTTTGTGTGTGTCCAGGAGTTGTAAAGTTTGATTTAATTATTCATGTGGAAGCAGTAACATTGCTTCCCAAACTAGCAAATGAAACTCCATCTTGCAAAGGAACTCACACAGGTCACAGTGACCAATTACTTAATGAAAATGATCAGGTTTCTAATGCGGCCCTGGCCAGAGCTCCTCTCCAAATTCCTGCAGTACTTCACGTAGCTATAAAACAGAGTGTACCTCAGCTTTCTTCCAGTGGTTAGGCAAAGTGTGCCACCGCTGCAGTCTTTAGGCCCATCAAAACTCCAAATGGCTGAACAAGCTTTAAGGAAAGGATTATTACTTATTAAGAATGGCTAATGTATGATGTAAAAGTTGGCTGCCGCTCCATCTCCACCCCCTCCTGTCTCTTTGGCTCAGCCTCAACTTCTCTCTCTTGCACTGAAATGGTGTGTTTGTGTTGTTTATGCTCATATTTTCAAATGATAACCTATTCTTGTAGAGCGTGAAACGAACAAGGATAGGAGTTTATATATCAAATATATCTTAATACAATCCTCACATGTCTATGTGTACATTATAAGTGTTGTTTGTTGTGAAGATGAAATCCACAGTCCTTGTTCCATTCAAAAATGAGTTTTAAAGGCATGCGCTTTACATTCAAATACATACCACAAGAAACATGTAAGAATAAAAAAAGAGAAGAAAACAAAGAAAACATACAAGGGCAGTTTGTTTCACAGAGTAGCTGGAAGCACCCTCACCTTACCTGGATCTTATTCTAGGTAGAGTTACACAATGCTTAATGTTTCTGATTTGACTCCTTGTTGCCTAAACTCAATCAGATGTTGTTAAAAAAGTTGGACAATCCAAATCTGTACAGGTCTGAACTTTTAGCTCCAGTGGTTTTATGTTGTTCTTTAGTTTAGTTTAGTTTAGTTCTCTGAGATTCTTCTTCTATTTACTGGTATATTTTATGTGTTTCTGAACCTTATAACTGCTATAGACATCCACTTACTCAGTTAGAAAACCACCTGAGAGGTTTGACAGAAAATACAACTGAAGCAGCAAAATTTGAGGCTTCAGTAGTCTAAGTTACCTAAATCAAGGAGCTACCTTCTAAAGTCTTCTTAGTACAACAATTCCCTCTTTCTGTTACTATGTCCCCACTACAGCTCAGCAAGGAAATGCTGTCCAGCACAGAGGGAGGACTATGGAGTGGATTTTGTTCCCCATCTGTTACAGTAGAGGCTAGGAGGAGATGACTACAGGACCAGTGCTGACAATAGAAAGGATAACTTTTTCACTGTATAGTAAAGATTTCCAGACACTTTGATCCAAGTCACTTCATTTAGCAAGCTTTAAGTCTATCTGACCTTCATCAGTTTGGACACATTGGGGCTTAGCAAAAATTCAGCTGGATGGAGCGGTTGTCAACCTGCAACTTTTTCACTGTAAACATGAGCAGGTTTTACTGTGAGAGAGACTTGAAAAATAAATCTGAATCCATCCTTTAATGCAACTATTGTCTCACCAAATTAATAATCCTCACAGCTGCGAGAAATGTTTGACCGACATCTGATGGACAGTTGTCCATCCTCTGGCTACTTGACACCACAACAGAGGCTATTTTGGTGATGTGCGTCCTGACTCCTCCAGCACCGCGGACAGCGCCGTCTGCGCCCAGCCTCTCTCTGTCTCCATCTAGCCGGTTTCCTGACTGCTGTGGCAGTAAAGCCTTTACCATGTTATACTGAAAGCATGCAACAGCAGCGAGCAGCGGCTTACACATACACACACACACACAGCAGCAGCAGCAGGCTGCGAGCCGACAGCAGGCTCTGCATGCAGCTCCCATTCTAAATATTTCTGCCTGGTAATACAAAACCAGGCATATTCTGCTAAATTATTAAATACCAGCCTGCAAAGGCTAAGACTGTAGTATGGCATGAGGCAATTGTTACAACACGGTTTGTGTGATGCTTTTATGTGGGCCAACAAGTGGAAATGTGTTTTGGAAATAGATGGGCTATCAAGAGTGTATTTATTGTTCCCCTCATGGTTTTTAAAATCACGAGTCCACTTTAGGGACATCAAACTACGCGAGGAGGTAATCATTTGGAGTTGATCATAAACTATAGTGACGTTCAGGGTATATCTGAGCGAAGACTAATCTTTGACAGGCCTATGGATCTGTTTGGGTGACGTCGCAGTAAAAGTGATTTCTGATTATGCAGGGTGGTTATGGCAACATTGACAAAGTCGATCTATTTGGTCCACAGTGGATTAAGATGATCGACCATGTGAGCGGGATTTAAACACCTTTCTACATCTCGATAATCCCATTCTTGTAATATCCTAACAGCCTTAAGGAGTGATCGATCCGCTGCAACCTGTGCGCATAGCAGGCAATGGACCGATATTCAGTCGAAGGCGGTGTTTTGGCTGTACAGTGACGTTTTAAGGCAGGTCCTGGTCAAACCTACCAATGATACAAGTCGGTTCTATTCTGCTGGGACTGATCGCAATGAACGGGTGTCGGAGCTCTGCACGGCATAGGAGCAACCACAGCGAGTCGAGGCGATCAAGGGGATGCGGCATCGGTACGCGGGAGCTGTCCATCAGCACCAAATCCCCGACGAAAAGCAAGGAAGCAGCCAGCAGAGCCGAGACCCAGTCGCTCCTGTTTTCAGCCTGCCGCCCCCGCCCTCTTCTCACCACCGAGACCGCACTTCGACCACCGCCGCTCACCGCCAGAGCCTCCAGGAGCTCCCCTGTCTGAGCCAGCCCTCTCGGAGACCTGTTCACAGCGGCGACCCTCTACCTCTGGCGCGCTACGACACCGCCCAGCGACCTTCACACCGAGGCAGTGAACCCAGCACCGGGCAGCCGGCGCACCTGCAGCAGGATCCCTGGGCCCCGGCCGGCTCTCAGCAGCAGC